CTAAGAAGCATTTAAGGTCAGGATTGACATTACAATTCAAAGTTTTAAATATACAGAGTACACACGAGAGGATGTGCAGTGACTTAATATCTAACATATTCAGAGATTTGAGTAAGGGTACTGAGTGCTGTCTGGGGCCAGAGTTAGATATTGTTCTAATAGAAGCTTTGTGTTGGGTAATTAGAGGACGTAAATGATTTTGGGCAGTAGAACCCCAAGCACAAATACCATAGTTGAGATAAGGATAGATGAGAGAGTAATAGAGCGTCACCAGGGCAGGGCGAGATACATAATATCTGATATTAGAAAGAATGCCAACAGTTTTGGAAACTTTTTTGCCACATTTAGAATGTGTCCCTAGAAATTCAGCTTGTTATCGATGAGGACACCAAGGAATTTACCATCAACTTTACTACTGATTTGTGCGGGCTAATTTGATTGCAATTCGAAGAATAACAATCAATTGTTTGATTTGTATATTGTTTATTCTTAGATTAATTTCATTTGAGGATTTATTGCCAAACAAAATATAAAGTTTTGTCAATGTTAAGGGTGAGTTTGTTAGCAGTTAGCCAAAGATGGACTTTATTTAGTTCAGTATTCACAGTGACATTTAGAGCAATCGGGTCAGGACTGGAGAAAATGAGAGTTGTGTCATCAGCAAATAAGATTGGTTTGAGGTGTTGAGAGGCATTTGGAAGGTCATTAATGTCGATGAGAAAGAGGAGAGGGCCAAGTATGCTGCCCTGTGGAACACCAATGTTTATGGTTGGTGTAGAAGAAATGGAATTATTTACAGAAACATACTGGAGCCTGTCAGTAAGGTAAGACTGAAGGTATTGCAGGGAGTGGCCTCTGACTCCATAATGATGTAATTTAAGAAGAAGGTTTTGGTGGTTGACAATGTCAAAAGCCTTATGTAGGTCCACAAATAACCCAACAGGGAACTCATTTTTATCAAGTGCCGTATGTATCAAGTTAATTATACTAATAAGTGCAACTTTAGTGCTTTTATTGGGTCTGAAACCATATTGGCAAGTGCTAAGTATATTGAGTTTGGCTAGATATGAGTAAAGCTGCTTGTACATTAGCTTTTCAAATATTTTTGACAAGGTTGGCAGAATTGATATAGGTCTGTAATTGTTGACATCAGTGAGATCACCACATTTGTGGACTGGGGTTACTCTCTTTTTTTAGAATATCCTAAAAGGTTTGGAGTTGAAGTGATTTGCTGAAGAGCAATGCAATGGCAGGAGTTAGAAATCTGTAGGCTTTTTTGTAAATTAGAGATGGTATCTCATCAAGGGCACTTGACTTAGTTTTAAGGGAGCGGATTACCTCATTAACATCAGAGGGATTAGCAGGAGGTAGGTACAGAGACTCTGGATAGTTACCTGTAAGGTAGTCTTTAATATTAGTGAGTGAGGATGGAATATCATGAGCAATTATTGTCCCAATGGATGAAAAGAACCTATTGAACTCAATAGCAGTGTCTGAGGCTGAAAGCACACCATTGTCATAGGATAGGAGAATTGTTTTTTATTCAAAATCTTTTTTGATAAAAAAATGATTTAGAAAATAAAAAATGAAGATAAAATAATAGATGAAGATAAAATGAATAAAAAGTCAAGATATAAAATGATTTAGAAATAGTGTACAAAAAAATGGACATATAAAAATCTGTTGCAACTTGTTCGTGTTGAATCGGCCACGTGAACACCTCCAGGAGAGTCTCTGGCATGGGAGACCACCTGGCTGTGATATGGCATGGGAGACCACCTGGCTGTGATGTCATGGCATGGGAGACCACCTGGCTGTGATATGGCATGGGAGACTACCTGGCTGTGATGTCATGGCATGGGAGACTACCTGGCTGTGATATGGCATGGGAGACCACCTGGCTGTGATATGGCATGGGAGACCACCTGGCTGTGATATGGCATGGGAGACTACCTGGCTGTGATGTCATGGCATGGGAGACTACCTGGCTGTGATATGGCATGGGAGACCACCTGGCTGTGATATGGCATGGGAGACCACCTGGCTATGATGTCATGGCATGGGAGACCACCTGGCTGTGATATGGCATGGGAGACCACCTGGCTATGATGTCATGGCATGGGAGACCACCTGGCTGTGATATGGCATGGGAGACTACCTGGCTATGATATTATGGTATGGGAGACCACCTGGCTATGATATGGCATGGGAGACTACCTGGCTATGATATTATGGTATGGGAGACCACCTGGCTATGATATGGCATGGGAGACTACCTGGCTATGATGTCATGGCATGGGAGACCACCTGGCTATGATATGGCATGGGAGACTACCTGGCTATGATATTATGGTATGGGAGACAATCTGGGTGTGATATCATGGCATGCAAGATCACCTGGCTGCAATATCATGGCATGGGAGACCACCTGGCTGTGATATGGCATGGGAGACCACCTGGCTGTGATATGGCATGGGAGACCACCTGGCTGTGATATGGCATGGGAGACTACCTGGCTATGATGTCATGGCATGGGAGACCACCTGGCTGTGATGTCATGGCATGGGAGACCACCTGGCTGTGATGTCATGGCATGGGAGACTACCTGGCTGTGATATGGCATGGGAGACCACCTGGCTGTGATATGGCATGGGAGACCACCTGGCTGTGATATGGCATGGGAGACCACCTGGCTGTGATATGGCATGGGAGACCACCTGGCTGTGATATGGCATGGGAGACCACCTGGCTGTGATATGGCATGGGAGACCACCTGGCTGTGATGTCATGGCATGGGAGACTACCTGGCTGTGATATGGCATGGGAGACTACCTGGCTGTGATATGGCATGGGAGACCACCTGGCTGTGATATGGCATGGGAGACCACCTGGCTGTGATATGGCATGGGAGACCACCTGGCTGTGATATGGCATGGGAGACTACCTGGCTATGATGTCATGGCATGGGAGACCACCTGGCTGTGATGTCATGGCATGGGAGACCACCTGGCTGTGATGTCATGGCATGGGAGACTACCTGGCTGTGATATGGCATGGGAGACCACCTGGCTGTGATATGGCATGGGAGACCACCTGGCTGTGATATGGCATGGGAGACCACCTGGCTGTGATATGGCATGGGAGACCACCTGGCTGTGATATGGCATGGGAGACCACCTGGCTGTGATGTCATGGCATGGGAGACTACCTGGCTGTGATATGGCATGGGAGACTACCTGGCTGTGATATGGCATGGGAGACCACCTGGCTGTGATATGGCATGGGAGACCACCTGGCTGTGATATGGCATGGGAGACCACCTGGCTGTGATATGGCATGGGAGACTACCTGGCTATGATGTCATGGCATGGGAGACCACCTGGCTGTGATGTCATGGCATGGGAGACCACCTGGCTGTGATGTCATGGCATGGGAGACTACCTGGCTGTGATATGGCATGGGAGACCACCTGGCTGTGATATGGCATGGGAGACCACCTGGCTGTGATATGGCATGGGAGACCACCTGGCTGTGATATGGCATGGGAGACCACCTGGCTGTGATATGGCATGGGAGACCACCTGGCTGTGATATGGCATGGGAGACTACCTGGCTATGATGTCATGGCATGGGAGACCACCTGGCTGTGATATGGCATGGGAGACCACCTGGCTGTGATATGGTATGGGAGACCACCTGGCTGTGATGTCATGGCATGGGAGACTACCTGGCTGTGATATGGCATGGGAGACTACCTGGCTGTGATATGGCATGGGAGACCACCTGGCTGTGATGTCATGGCATGGGAGACCACCTGGCTGTGATATGGCATGGGAGACTACCTGGCTGTGATATGGCATGGGAGACCACCTGGCTGTGATATGGCATGGGAGACCACCTGGCTGTGATATGGCATGGGAGACTACCTGGCTATGATGTCATGGCATGGGAGACCACCTGGCTGTGATATGGCATGGGAGACCACCTGGCTGTGATATGGCATGGGAGACTACCTGGCTATGATGTCATGGCATGGGAGACCACCTGGCTGTGATATGGCATGGGAGACTACCTGGCTATGATGTCATGGCATGGGAGACCACCTGGCTATGATATGGCATGGGAGACTACCTGGCTATGATGTCATGGCATGGGAGACCACCTGGCTGTGATATGGCATGGGAGACTACCTGGCTATGATGTCATGGCATGGGAGACCACCTGGCTGTGATATGGCATGGGAGACTACCTGGCTATGATGTCATGGCATGGGAGACCACCTGGCTATGATATGGCATGGGAGACTACCTGGCTATGATGTCATGGCATGGGAGACCACCTGGCTGTGATATGGCATGGGAGACTACCTGGCTATGATGTCATGGCATGGGAGACTACCTGGCTATGATATTATGGTATGGGAGACAATCTGGGTGTGATATCATGGCATGCAAGATCACCTGGCTGCAATATCATGGCATGGGAGACCACCTGGCTGCAATATTACGGCATGGGAGACCACCTGGCTATGATATCATGGCATGGGAGACCACCTGGCTGCAATATCATGGCATGGGAGACCACCTGGCTGCAATATTACGGCATGGGAGACCACCTGGCTATGATATCATGGCATGGGAGACCACCTGGCTGCAATATCATGGCATGGGAGACCATCTGGTTATGATATCACAGCTCATTATCCGGACACCACTGCAGCCAAAGTGTGTGTTTGTTTGCGTGTATTTTTACACATGTTAGCTAAGGGCCAAGCATTTAACAATTATTTCCAAGTAACTTTAGCATACATAGTGCTTCCCTTTAGAAGGCTTTAGTAATAGTGCTGCATACTGGTCTTGGGTTATTCCATTTGCTGATTTGTCTAGTAATCATTTGCCCAAGCAAGATTTGAGCTGTAGATCCCAAGGCGCAGACACCGTGAGCGAGATGGTGACAGATGAGGGAATAACAGTATAATAAGGGGAAATGAGGTGCTGTACATAGTTTTTAATTTTATCATAATTATGCAAAATTAAATTTTTCTATATGCCTGTTGAATTTTATCAAAGGGAACTAGGGAATTTCCTTCTGCTCTACTTGCAATTTGGGTATGAGTTATTTTTAGTTCTATTTTATTGATGTATTTCTCAAATACACTATGATTTGTTTAATGTTAAGATGTGGATGACTACTAACAAACTTGTCCTTTAACCTCATGTGCCCTAAATCAGTGCACAAGAGCATCCTCTCCACTCTGAGGCATCACCCATGAGGGGGTGAATGAAGGAAAGGCTGTGAGAAAAGGAATATAAATGTCTTGGATATATCACACAAAATAAAACAGGAAACAACAGATATAAAAGGAGACAATAGATATAAATTGGCTAAGGTTAGATTCAGGAAAGACCTGAATAAATACTGGTTTGGAAACAGGGTTGCAGAGTTATGGAAAAAATTACTGGGTAACAAAATTGACATTGGAATTGCTGGATGGTTTCACTTGTAGTTTAGAGACGTATCCCGCCAAACACACACCGAAACTACGGCGTTGGTACAATGTTCAAACAAGTTTTAACACCTCCTAACCAGTTATAACAACCAATATAGCAAGTTGTAACAACGTTCTAATTCGTCATAAACATGTTAAGCCAAGATGTAACAACTTTATTACAAGTTGTAGCAAGCGGAAAACTTGTAGACAGTTTCAGTTTGTGTTTCCAGGGATGGGTCTTCTGCAGCTTCCTTTTTTTGTGTGTGTTCATCTTATCCAAGAAATTTAATGACATGCATATCATTCAGGATGCCAATATGAGAGCAAAACTAAGGGTCAAAGATATAAAAATTTGATGTACTAGTCATTAATACAACAACAAATAGAGGTAACAGAATTTACAATATGCAAACAAGTTTTACAGTTGACCAGAATATGCTTCAACAATAATAATTCCTTGATTTGGGCTGCCAGGGTACTGCTCCTGCTGCTGCTGCTGCTGGTGCTGATGGTGGGTTATGGTATGCTGCACCTCTGAGTTGTGCTGAAAGCTCTGCTCCTCTTCCAGAATGCTGTTAATCCTACGTAATTCTGACAAAATCTGCTTTAGAACAACGTTGGTCTGTTTGTAGGCATCTCGCTGCATGCGATCAGATTCTGCTCTGGACTCGAGATGCTCCAAGCGACGATCTATGCTCAAACTTGCCTCCAATTCCTGCACACGGTCTAAGATGCTCCTGTCTTGGCCCCCAAGATCTTTGCCAGCCCTCACGACTCTTCGTGTCTCTGGTCGTCCTCTACCGAGGTTCCTAGTTAGCCCCAATGTTCCGCCACTCTCCAATACTGGCTTACAATCAATCGGAACTGGAAGTAAAGACAGTGTACACCCCCTGTAAATACTTTTGGTGTAAACTTCTATTAAGAAAAAGGAAAGACTGAGAAAATATAAAATGGAAAAAGATAGAGAAGGAAAACAAAATGGTGGTAATTAGCTTTTCTTCTCTTAATGAAACTGGAAATGTCTTTATTAACTTGATAAAGGCAATACTGTACATAAATATACACAAACTATATATGTACAAGAATAGCATAAGAACAAAGGACACTACAGAAGGCCTATTGGCCCATGTGAGAGAGAATAGACAAAATAAATTAAAATTAAATTAAATAAATATTCACTGAAACTCACAAACATCTAACACATGCCTAAAACAATTCATGTGTGACCCCATGCCTATGGTAACCTGGTAATTTGTTCTATAAATCTACAAACCCATTTCCAAACCAGTATTTACCCAGGTATAATTTCATATTCTTTTTTGGCAGGGATATTCCTGCATGGGCCCTAAGCCTCTGGCTGGCCCATTAAGTGTTGCTTGTTTCTGTTTTACTTAGGCGGAGTATGAGTATTTTTTACTTATATGTTCGCTTCAGTAAGATTTTGCCCCATGTGTTTAACAACAACTGCTGTGTTGAATCCAATTTGAAATCTTAATGGGTTTGTAACTGCACTGTGTTAGATAATGTTCCAGTGGTCTGTCTGAGAATTTTTGTGTTGATATATTTGAAACTTTCAGTAAATATCCCCAATCTTGTTATACACTTTTTTAATCGGTACATACCTGTCCGTGACTGCAGGAAAGCAAGGTTTAGCTCTTTGCAAATAAAGTTTCCAATTCCTGGGATAAAGTTTGTCATACGTTTCTGTACATGTTCAAGAGAACTAACGTCTGTTCTCAAGTACGAAGACTAAAACTAATGGAGCCTAACAAGGGCAAGATGTAGCTGAAGAATAACACTATATGTCTCACTGTTGAGGTGTTCGCACCTCAACTTGGAGACAACAGGCTGCAACCGCCGACCCAAAGTGACACAGGCCCGACTAGACCCAAGAACATTCATGAGGTAGCGTGCAGCCAGGACCCTGTTCAACACACAAAAACCCTGTACCTGAATGACAGCCAAGGACACATTACCGAACACAGCAAACTTGCGAATGTCATGGGCATGGGGATAGACTGCATGCTGGCTAGACTTAATAATCCTGTGGACAACCTGAGAGACCCCAACCCGAGAACAGGGAAGAAGGGAAACTGGATCAACCCAAAGCTCGTCCCCAGTCACAGAGGCCGTGGAGTGCATATTTTTTTTTTTTTTTTTTTTTTTTTTGAGATATATACAAGAGTTGTTACATTCTTGTACAGCCACTAGTACGCGTAGCATTTCGGGCAGGTCCCTGGAATACGATCCCCGCCGCGAAGAATCGTTTTTTCATCCAAGCACACATTTTACTGTTGCGTTAAACAGAGGCTACAGTTAAGGAATTGTGCCCAGTAAATCCTCCCCGGCCAGGATACGAACCCATGACATAGCGCTCGCGGAACGCCAGGCAAGTGTCTTACCACTACACCACGGAGACTGTATATAACGGTGGAGGGCTGCAACCGGACACAACACAAGATGCACCCCTGGCCTGACCAACCATGCAACCAACCAACAACCCAAGGACCCCTCCGGAAAGCAGCAGTCTCATTCTTCGCCAGAAAAGAAGGAGATGGCTGCAAATGAACAAACCTGTCACCACAACCAAAAGAGTAGAAACCCCTGAGCCGGAGGAGAGCATGAAGCTCCCCAACATGACCCCAGAAGCCAATGCCAACAAGAAAAGAGCCTTAGAAAAACAATTCTGAACCAAAGGGGCCACAACAAACCGAGAAGAGAGATAAGAGAGCACTCTGTCCAAGGACCAGGACGGCTCAGGTGGCACATGAACAGGCCAGAGGTGAAACAACGCACGAGGCAGCTTACGAAACGGCGCAAAAGTAACATCTATACCGAAAACAAGCTGCAGCAGCTCCGCCAAAGCCGCACAATACGAGGCAACTGTATTCGGTATAAGATGACGGTCCTGAAACAGCCACGAGAGAAAAGCCAAAACAACCTTAACCGAAAGCGAAGAACAATGACAAAGAGTCAAAAAGAACTGGGAAGGAACGCCAGGAAACTTAATACTGCCGCCGAGACGAAGCCCACAGGTGGGACACCATCAGAGAAGCCACCTGATCACAATATAGATGGTGATAGACCCAAGGCAAAAAAAGACCAAATGTGAAGACTCGAGGAGAAGATCGAACCAGTCTCGTAACGGACCAGACCGATCTTCTGAAAGAGGGAGAGCTGTGGGGAAAACCTCCAGGTACGGACATAGAGCAAACAGCGCCTGAAACAAAGGCTTGGTCAGCCATCATGGGGCCAAGAGGACTACTCTCTCCTGGTACATCTCCAGGCGAACTAGGACCTGGAGCAACAGCTGAACCAGGGGAAAGAGGTACAGGAACCCCCACCTCGACCAGTTCTGCCGAAAAGCATCGACTCCGACGGACTCGCAGTCGGGGAAGGGCACCACATATACCGAAAGACGCCTCAACCACGCCGATGCGAAGAGGTCCACCTCCGGGCGCACGAACGCCTGGCAGAGCCAACTGAACGAGTCGGCATCGACAGTCCATTTTGTGGACAGGGGAATGAACCAGGACAAGCCCTCCGCCAGGATGTTGGACACTCCTCAGACGTGAACGACCAGGAGAGTCAAACCCCCGAGAACTCGGCAGATGAGTCACCCAAAGCGACCAGCCCTAAAGAGTCAAGGACCGCAATGAACCACCAGGGAGCAGTCCGAATGGAGCTGGATTGTCAACTCGCGGGCAGCCTGAAACCTCCAAAGAGCAAACCACACTGCCGCGAACTCTCGCACCGGGCTGTGGGTCTGACGAAAGGACAGACCCCACCACCCCTGGCAGGCCTGGTGAACACTGGTCACAAAAACCCAGCCGAGAGACGACACATCCGTGAACACATCGAGTGAGGGCTCGGGTAGGCACCAAGGCACTGAACCCCGAAAAACCTGAAGAAGAAGCCGGCGACGCAGCAGCCAATGCAAAGCCCAGAAGGAAGGGGGGGCGAATCCAGTGATCACAAGAGAGGTGGAAGGGACCAGAACAGCCAACAAAGCCAAACCTGACCTGGCGGGTAGACCATCATCGCAAAGTTCAGGCTCCTACACAGGCCCTCGAGCAACTGCTGGGTGACCTGGGAGCCCCCCAGAAACAAGCACATGCAGGACCACAGCCTAAGGAGAGACTCCGGAGGGAGAGACAAGGAAGCAGTTCGAGCGTCCCACACAAGATCCAGCCAGGTCAGAACCTGGGAGGGGGACCAGGTGAGACTTCCGCCAGTTCACCAAGAACCCGAACCCAGCTAGCTGGGAAAGCACCAAACTCCTGGCGAGTAGACACGTGGACTGACTGGGAACCCAGACCAGCCAGTCAATGGAGATAGGCCAACACCCGAACACCTAAGAAACGCAGACGGGCCACCAAGACCCGAATAAGGCGTGTGAACACGCGAGGTGTCAGGTTCAACCTGAAAGGGAGACAACGAAAGTGGTAACTTTGACTCCTCCACAACAAAACCGAATCAGTCCCTGAACCTCGGATGAATCGGAACGTGCCAATAGGTGTCCTTGAGGTCCAGGGACACCATCCAAGTGTCCAGCTCCAATAAAAGCCGGACCTAGGACAGAGTGGTCATCCAAAAGGAGGGGCAAGAAACCCAGGGGTTCAGACGGGACAAGTCCAGAATGAACCGCAGGTCCGCATAGTCCCGTTTCAGAACTGGAAACAAGCAGGAGACCCATTTGAGAGATGTCATCATTTCGACCATGCCGAAGCGCACCCACTCCAAGACGACCCGACAGACGCAGGAGAAAAGGCCTGCCTCGCCAGCCCCGAATCCCCCAAAGGAGGAGGAGTCACCCAATGCCACCGCAGGCCACGAGAAACGTCCCAAAATGCCCACGAATCGTGAGACCAGGCATGAGCAAACAGAACAAGCCTTTACCCCCCCCATTGCTCCGTCAATAGGGTGAACCGCGAAAGGGCCAACGCCCCTTACGAGAACCCGACCTGCAGACAGAGTGATCACCGCGCCGATCAGACAAAGACGGCTCCGAAACTGGCACCTGTTGCCTACCCCGATGAGCAGAACCCCGGGCTCTGGCACGACCCCTCCAGAAGGATCCCACCCGAGACCCCCGGAGAACCAACAAGTCGGACATTGGATGACAGATGGCAGAAGCCGCCTGCATATACTGCTCAACCACCGAGTCTGCAAACAGCAACAGACAAAAGGGCGAAGACAACGTAAGAGCCAGAGCCCAAGCTGATTCCAAGGAGTAAGCTAGCACAACCTGCCTACACCCGAGACACGAAGCGAAAAACCTTGACACCGCATCCCGCAGAATCGGCGCAAACAGCTTCAACAGTGCAGTCGACGCACGAGCTGCCGAGACTTAGGCACCAGACACAGGAACGGCCCCAAGTGCCTCCATATCCTCCGCAAGCCAATCCGAAGACAGCTCAAGGAAGGAAAAGAAACGCAAGACTGAAGCCAGCAAGCCACAAGCATGTAAGTCCTCAGCCACAAGCGCAGTCGACAGGGAAGGAACCTGAACGTGAAGCTGAATCGCGCCCACACCCTGCAGAAGGGCAGGAGCGAACAAGCACTCATTAAAGTGCTCAAAGCTGCCCCACAGGTAAACTTGGACCACAGTCAACGCCTCGCACCACTCAAGCGTGTGGATATGACAGAAAGCGCTCCAAACATCCAACGACAACAACGGGCAGTCTGCTAGTCAGGACGACTCTGGACCCTCATAACGAACCCAGTACAGTATAGAGACGAAGACCCAAACCTGAAGAAAGAGGGATCCATTATGGAGGCATACTCAGGGTTGCGTAGGAGGTAAGCAGCAATGGTTGCCGCACCTCAGTAGGCGCGCATTTCGGAACCAAAGGACCCGCAGGGATACGGAACCGAACCCGGGGAGGAGCCAAACCCAAATCCAACTCATACGCAGAAGGGGGAAAAGAAAACCCCACTCCTTGTAGCAATAAGCCCCGCTCAGAGAGTTGGAAAACCCAGGTGGGGTCCAATGGGGCCCAAGGCCACCAAGTCAACTCCTCCCCAACCCTGGGATCTCCACATCAGGCCCCAGGGGCGAGTCATCCTCCAGAGCCTCGGCCTCACAAGAAAAAGCTGGAGTGGCCTGAAAAAGCAGGAAGAGAGGGGGGCCCACCAGTTAGACCCCGGTGCGACAGCTGGAGGAACTGACTCAAATGCCTCTGGCACCACCCTAAAAGGAGCAGCCCCTCAAACTGCCCGAGTCTCAGAAACCTTTAAACCCTGCCCCGACCCCGAAGCCCTCAGATGCTTAAGAGCCAGAAGCAAGGGGGTGGGGGGAACAATGCACCACAGCAGGGGAAGAACGATGGGGTGCGGACTAAACCAAGGCCGAAGCGACCAACACCCCCAAGTCCAGGTCCTTATAAGCAAAGCGGGGCAGCCTCAGGGGCATCTGGGAAAGCAACCAACCTAGCATGTTACAGCAATCTAAACCTAGTCTGCAACATATGAGCCACCTGTACCCAAATAATGTCATCAGTAGATTGGGTGAACTGAATCACAAACAAGCAACAATGCTCGCAGGACTCCGGGTCGAAGGTGTCACCGACCCAACAGGTAGCATGACAGAGGCAAACACAATGAGCATCGCCCTGAGACAAGGGGACAGAGTAACCCTCAAACTCCTAGACTGGTATTGCTAAGGGTAAGCCCAGGCAGGGTACTGCTAACCGGCGCCCAAGACTACCAAACAAACTGCTACAGCTGAACCCCCGCGACGTGTCCACTCAGGGGGGCTAACCAGGGGGTACTACCGAACAACAAAGGTCAAGACCCTAATATAAAAGGTGGGCAAGGAACACCAAGGCAGACCCCCTCTCCCCACCAGGCAAAAACAAAAAGAAAAGAAAAACCCCACAAGAGGACAACATACGCAGGAGGAACAGAGCTGGCCGCTGTTATAGGTGAAAACTATCTGTGCAGTACCCTGCGCCCCTACCAGTGCAAAAACTACCTCTTACCCCAAGGTAACAAGAGAGGAAAACCCCAACACACTCGGGGCGGCCAATCAACGAGCAGCAAAAGACCAACAGAGGTAGACCCAAGGCGATTTGTGGAAGAGAACCCCAAGCCCCAAGGGCAGTACTTACAGGGCACTCAGGGATGGGAACTCTGAGCACATGCAGCCCGAGTACCTTGGAATAATACTCCCAGCTCGCACGCCACCATAAGAGCAGTACTGGACCCAAGGCACAGCACAATAGAGAGAAACTGGAGCTGGAGCCACACGACCTTGCCACAATCACATCAGCCTCAGAACTGGGGTGTGGATCACCAGCACGGGGGTCTGGGGCTCCCCCTTCCCCCTCCCAGGAAGGGGAGAGCTACGCGAACATGCGGCGCGGCTCGTGTGACATCTTGCTCATTTGCTCATTTTCATTTGGGGAGTTCTGTCCACTAGTTTGTCTATTTTAGTAGTTTTCACCAGAACAGGAGTTTGTTTTGGGATGCTTACTTTTCTGGATGCCTGTCCTGGTCGATGGCTGATATAGAATGCTCCAAATCCAATGTGCATTTCAATAGGCCATTGCTCTTCATGCCTCTCTGAGGGGGGCCAGGCTCTGCCCGCCAAACACACACCGAAACTACGACGTTGGTACAACGTTCGAACAAGTTTTAACACCTCCTAACCAGTTATCACAACCAATATAGCAAGTTGTAACAACGTTCTAATATGTCATAAACACGTTAAGCCAAGATATAACAACTTTATTACAAGTTGTAACAAGCGGAAAATAGAGACAGTTTCGGTTTGTGTTTCCAGGGTGGCCGTGGTCCCCGTTAGGCCTAGAACTCCATACACACTGACTGATGCCAAAGTTTACAGATATTCATATCAGCCTGGATAGCTCCGGGAAGTCGTAGAGGCTCCCCCCAGAAAAAAGTGTAAAACAAATCAGACATTGAAATAGATATGTCAAAATTCCTTTGCGGCAACTCCCATCCCATGCTTGGCTTGGGCTGACCTCTACTAGGCAACTATTCCATGAATGCATAGCAATTGTGATGTCAGTGAGAGATTTCCTCACTTTACCACAGCCAGGTCACACATTTTTTAATTTGGCCATAATCAGGGAATGAATTTTAACAATATTACAAGAAAATATTTTTTGGATTTTCTCCTACACACCAGGGCACTGTCTCATAAATGGGTGCAACCCTGAGGTTAAACTATTTCTGTCCATTTTTTTACCATTTTAAGAGCCTATATATCATCTTATAGTAATTTTGTCTTTTAAATTTATTTCACACCCTATTTTTGTACGATCTACAAATTTGTAAATGTTGCTATTTAATCATGTGTGAAATTCCCTTGCGGGTGTTGTCTTGGTAGATGTGTCATGGTCAGCAGCTTCCACCTTGGCACTAAAGGAACACAGTAGGCAATAACAGGGTCACAGGGGCATCAGGTTCTACCTCAGTGGCACTGAAGGAACACGGTAACTGAGCAACCCGTCCTCTCAACTAATGCACCTCATTTTGTACGGTATGGTCACCAACAGACAAAATAAGATGTACTATGAAAAATAGCAACTCACACATACAGTATCCACTTGTTCTTTGCATAGGTTAGTTAGGGTGGCTTAGGTTCATGCATTCTGGTACCCCTTATTTTGTATATTGTGGCAAATCAAGAGAACTGGCTGAACTGAGAACAGTTATGGGGGGTCGTATTCTGCCTCTACAGTGGCACTGAAAGAGTACACAGTCATACAATAATTACCATTAGTAGCAACGTTCATAGAGTTGACAATATCTCTGACCCGGGTATAAAAAGCCCAGAGAGAGATGGAACCAGTTGTCTCGGCCTCCATCTGGTAGAATCTTAAACCCTCCTGCAGGTTCAACCATTTATGTTGACATTGCTTGCTATGGACAGCATGGCCTTCAAGAGTCATCTGTTGAGCAACTTCCTGTAGAGAAAAAAACTAAAATTGCCACTCCATAAAAAGCAGCGTGAATGTAATGAAATGCCATTTTTTTGGGTGAGACTCGGAGGCTTCCCGGAGTTATCTAGGCTGACATGTAACTATTAGCTTTCTGGCATCAGTCAAAGTGCATGGAGTTCTTGCCTACTGGGAACCACGAGCCAGAACCTGGCCCCCCCCCCCCTCAGAGAGGCACGACGAGCAATGGCCTATAAAAACCCGTGTGGTTGGGAGCATTCTATGTCTGCCATCGACCGGGTCTGGCACCCAGAAAGATAGGTGCCCAAAACAAACCCCTATTCTGGTGAAAATATTGCTACCGAAAGCCGAACGAGTGGAGCATGTCATCTTTTCGCCGCACGGCTGTCTGCGCAACCCCCCTCCCAGGGAGGGGGAAGGGGGAGCCCCAGACCCCCACACAGTCGATCCACCCTGTAGTTCTTAGGCTGGATGTCAAAATAAGCAAAACACGAGAAGTGGCCTGTCCTGCCAGCCCCAAACCCCCGAAGGAGGAGGAGCCACCCAACGCCACCACAGGCCGTACGAAATGACCCAAAAGGTCCACGAATTGTGGGACTAGGTGCGAGCAAACAGAGTGAGCCTTCCCCGCCCCCCCACTGCCTTATCAATGGGACGAACCGCAAAAGCGCTGATGCTCCTTACGAGCTTCCAAACAGCACAAAGGGCAATCCCCTCGCTGAACAGAAACAAACAGCACTGAAGGCCGTGTTGGCGCCGAACCTGACACCACTGGCCTACCACGAAAGTAAGAACCCCGAACCCTGGCATGACCCTGCCGGGACGGCCCCCCACAAGCCCCCCGGAGGACTAACAATTCTGACAGGACGGCAACTAGCCGATGCCACATCTTGTAACACCAAGCAAATACTGCATCACCGCAGACTCTGCAAACAACAACGGACAAAAGAGCGAAGACAATCTAAGAGCCAAGGCCCAAGCGGATTCCAAAGAAGCGAGCACCGCCTGCCGACATGCGAGCCGAGAAGAAAAAAACGCGAAACTATCTTGCAGGAGCGGCGCAAACAGCTTCAACAGCGCAGATGACGCACACATCGCCAAAGGCAATGCACCAGACCCACAGACGGCCCCAAACTCCTTCACATCCACCACCACGAAAGTAAGAACCCCGAACCCTGGCACGACCCTGCCGGGACAGCCCACCACGAGCCCCCCCCCGGAGGACTAACAATTCCGACATAGGACGGCAACTAACCGATGCCACACCCTGTAACACCAAGCAGATACTGCATCATCGCAGATACTGCATCACCGCAGACTCTACAAACAGCAACGGACAAAAGAGCGAAGACAATCTAAGAGCCAAGGCCCAAGCAGATTCCAAAGAAGAAGCGAGCACCGCCTGCCGACATGCGAGCTGGGAAGAAAAAAAACGCGAAACTGCATCTTGCAGGAGCGGCGCAAACAGCTTCAACAGCGCAGATGACGCACGCATCGCCAAAGGCAATGCACCAGACCAACAGACAGCCCCAAGCTCCTCCACATCCACCACAAGCCAGTCCGAAGACAGCTCAAGGAGGGAGAAGAACCGCAGGGCCGAAGCCAGCAGGTCCCGTGTACGCAAGTCCTCCACGACCAATGCAGCCAATAGAGAAGGAACCTGCACATGACGTTGCATCACACCAACATCCCATGGAACGGCAGGGGGTAAACAAACACTCATTGAGATGCTCAAATGCGCCCCACCCCCCCCCACAGGAAAACCTGCAATGCCGTCTAAGCCCCCCGCCACTCAAGAGTGAGGAACCGACAGAACATATGCCATGCCTCCAAAGAGAAGAAAGGGCAGTCTGCTAACCAGGACAACTCCAGAACTTCGTAACGAACCCAGTAAGGACACGGAGATCCATACACGAAGGAACGCAGATCCATCAAGAAAGAAAATCCGGGTCGCGCAGGAGGTAAGCCGCAAGTGCTTCCCGCACCCACTGTGACTGGACTCAGGAAGCCGGAAACCTCCGGAAAGATGGAACTGAAGAACCGTCAGGGCCACGGAACCGAACCCAGGGAGAGGGAGACGCCAAATCCAACTCGTACAAGGAGGGAGCGCAAAAAGAGAACCCCACACCCTGTAACACCAATCCCCGCTCCGAGAGTACAAAAACCCAAGCGAGGCCCAACGGGGCCCAATGCCTTCAAGTCAACCTCTTCCCCGCCCCAGGAACCTCACCCCGTGGATACAGGGTTGAAACACATACACCCCCCTCCCACCCCCTGCCTCTACAGAAAAGGCAGGAGCTGCCGAAAAAGCAGAAAAGAAGGGCGACCCACTGGTCAGACCCAGAAGCTCCGGCAAGAGGACCAGGCTCGAATGCCTCCACCGGCACCCCAGAAAGGAACTCTCGAGACTGCCCGAGTCTCAACACCAACTAAACCCTGCCCTGACTCCGAAACCCTCATACGCTTCGGAGCCAGAAGCAAGGGGGGGAGGAACCGGATGGACAATACAAGGGGAAGGACAAGGAGGGGGGGAGGATAGAACCAGAGCAAAAGCGACTCCCACCCCCAAGTCCAGGGTCCTAAAACCAAAACGGGGCAGTCTTGGGGCATCTAGGGAAGCAACTAACCTAGTGCATTGCAGCAACCTAAACCTAGCATGCAACGCAGCTGACACCTGTACCCTCATATTATGATCAGTAGCTTGGGTGAACTGGAGCATGTACAGCCAACAAACGTCGCATGACTCCAGGTCAAAAGAAGCACCGACCCAACAGCTAGCATGGCGGAGGCACAACCGGTGATTGTCACCCAGAGACAAAGAGACAGAGCAACCTTCCGACTCGCATAATGCGAGAGGGGACTCAAGGGTCACATCCATCAGACTGCAGAGCCCCCATGGGGCTTCCCAGGGCCTTTAGCCTAATTAACATGCTAAGGGAAGTCCAGGCAGGGTACTGCAAACCGGCACCCAAGATTACCAAACAATCTGCTAATAGCTGAACCCCTGGGATGTGTCCACTCACGGGGGGCCTAGCAAGGGGTACTACCAACCACACAAAAACTGAGAATAAATATAATTATAGATATATACACCCCAACACAGAAGGGGCAACCACCAAGGTAAACCCCCTCACCAGGCAGAAAAACAAAAGCAAAACCCCACAAGAGGACAATGTACCCAGGTGGAACAGAGCCGGCTGCTGTAAGAGGTAAAAACTAGCTGTGCAATACCCCAAGCCCCTACCAGTGATGAAAACTACCCTACCCAGAGGCAAACACGAGCAACAAAGACCCCTGTCGACTCCAAGGGCGGCCAAGTACCGAGTGGTAAAAGACACGGCGGGGGGTAGATCCCGAGCTGACTTGTGGAAGGTGGCCTCATGCCCCAAGGGGCCTTACAGGGCACCTAGAGAAGGTGGCCCTAGGCGCATGCAGTTCGAGTACCAAAGAATATTTCTCCTAGCTCGCACACCACCAGCAGAGACAGTCAATGCCACAAGGCACAGAATCCGAGACAAATCGCTGGAGGCAGAGGCACAAGACCTCGCCAGTAGCACATCAGCCTGAGAATTGAAGGGTGGATCGCCGGCATGCGGGACTGGGCTCTCCCTTCCCCCTCCCGGAGAGGGGGGGGGGGGGTTGCACAAACAGCGGCGCAGCAACACGACGACGTCATGCTCGTTTGCTAATTTTTGTTTGGGGAGTTCTGTCCACTTGTTTGGCTTTCGGTAGCAATAGTTTCACCAGAATAGGGGTTTGTTTTGGGGCGCCTACCTTTCTGGGTGCTAGATCTGGTCGATGGCATACATAAAATGCTCCCAACCACACAGGGGTTTCTATAGGCCATTGCTCCTCGTGCCTCTCTTGAGAGAGGCCAGGTTCTGGCTCATGGTCCCGGTAGGCAAGAACTCCATGCACATTGACTGATGCCAGAAAGTTATACATATATATCCATTTAGCCTGGATAGCTCCGGGGGAGCCGACAGGGCTCCCCCCAGAAATCTATTCCTTGCATCTCCAAAATGGCAAGAGAAAAGGTCCTTGTCCTTTTCTCCTTTTCTAACACTTCTTTTGTGTTCCTTAAGTCTGTCATTCAGTGTGCGGCCAGTTTCACCAAAGTATTAGAGAGGATAAGACGAAAAGGAAACAGTAGACACCAGCAGCATTAGAAGCAGGAGAAGCAGTGTGGTGAACCTGGTTCTACAAGGTGTAGAACATAATTGTTTGTTGAGAAGCAAGTTTTACATCAAGAGGATGTAAAACAATCCTCATGCTAATGAGTTTTTTTAGTTTAGATATGAGGGTAAGCTACAGCACAGTGTTACTAATGTTGGAAACAGGTTTGACATGAAACAAATTTCCTTTAGCTTGAGAATAGGCACAGTTGATCAAATTTAATGGGTATCCAAGGTAAAAGAGACTTGTAAATAAAAAGAATTTCGGAATCAAGAAACTGAGGTCACTGAGACCAGGATGAAGAGAGTCGAGAACATTTTTCTTAACAGAAGGGAGATGATAGGAAAACAAGTGAATGTACATACCACTATGCATAGGCTTGTAGTAAACAAAGAAAAATAAACCAGACAAAGTTCATGTTCACATGAACATTTATTCAAAAGGTGACACCCCTAGGGTAACACTTCCATCAGAGGAGCTCCAGCATATTTCAACAATCCTAAGTATTGTAGTACAGGATGATGATAGTGAGTGGTGTCCCAGAGAACATAAAGGTAGTGCTTTTGAAAAATAGGTGAGATAACAGGAATGTGCTAAGGGCAGTGAAAAATCGGATGAGAAAAAGTTGCCCTAGTGTTTACAGTGCAGAGAAGAACATTTAAGATGGACGCCGGCAAGAGGAAAAACAAAACAGAGCTTGATTTTGCGGGATTCAATGAAGAAAGCATTGATATTAGCAGTCTACACAACTAGTTGGTAAAATTAGATACTATAGTGAACTTTCATTTAGAAATAATTAGTAAATTGAAAGAAAGTAATGACTATTTAAATAGCAAAGTTGTATGTCTTGAGGGTGTAGTGAAAGACTTGCGCAAGGATAAGAATCAATTGAAAACAAATTGCAAAGCCATGGAAGAAGAAAATAAACTCTTAAAAATAGCTTTGGAAGAAGTTAGAGTAAATTTAAACATAAATGACTACAATAGATTAGGTAAGGAAATTCAACAGGAGAAACAGCTTTTGTCAGCACAGATGAAGTTACACAGGGAATAGAACAGTGCAAGAAAGATATGCAACTCATCTATGCACAAGTGGCCAAGGAGAAGGAAAAAATTGAAGAAGCAGTAAAGGAAGTCAAACACTGCAGCAACCAAGATAAAACAAACATTAGGCTGGAAGTGAGAAAGGAATTGGCATCTAATCCGAAGTTGGTGCAAAACTCAGTTGATTGGAGTAAGTCCCTGAAAATTTTTGGTTGCAAAGAAAAGGAGATAACATCTAGGTCAGAAAGAGCTGTAGAAGAAGCGATAGTTATAGATAAAATTGTTGGCCTCGCAGAAGGTCTTACTACCATAAAGAATGTGTGCGACTACAGGAGAATAGACAGATACGTAAAAGGGAAAGATCGACCTTTGAGGATCACCCTAAACGGTGCCAAACAGATGGAAGAAGTACTAAGGAATGCTAGAAAATTACAAAGTGATGAGGATGGGAAAGTGTGGTCGTTAAGACGAGATCTTTCAAAAGAAGACAGACAGAAGCTGAAACTGAACCTCGCCGAGGCAAAATGTTTAAATGAGAGCAGGAATGAAGAAGAAATCAATTCTTTTTTCTACAAAGTGTTATGGGTAGGCAGACCAGTAAAGTGGTACATAAAGGCAAACCAACAAAATTAATAGAGAGAGGGGGAGTGAAGAATAAGGAGAGGGGGAACAAGTTCCTGAAGATTGCATACACCAACGTAGATGGAGTGAGATCAAAGATACTGGAGTTAAGTGATGTAATACAGCTGCAGACACCAGACATTGTTGCACTCACGGAGACAAAACTTGAAGATGTTATTTTAAATGAGGTCATATTCCCAAGGAGCTACTCAATTTGGAGACGGGACAGAAAAATTAGGAAAGGCGGTGGCGTTGCTGTGCTGGTGAAAGAACACCTAAAGGTGAAGGAAATAATGACTGCCAATCCACAAGAAGTTGACATAATAGCACTAGAGATCTGCCATGAAGATGATAAACTAATGATCATAAATGCATATAGTCCACTGCCAAGCAGCACATGGTCAAAGGAGGAGCTAGATAGTAAACGAGAAGGTCTTATAACAATAATGAGAGAGATTATAGCGAGAGCGGATAATGATAGATCACGACTGTTGATAGTCGGTGACTTCAACTTGAAATCCATAGACTGGGAAGCATATGAAGCTAAAACAGAAGATTTTTGGACCTGTAGATTTGTAGACCTCATCCTGGAAACATTCTTGTATCAACATGTTAAACAAGCTACGAGGATGAGGGAAGGTGATATTTACCAGGAAGGAGGAAGAGATATTTGACATTCAGTACCTTCCTCCCTTGGGTAAAAGTGACCATGTCTTTTTGGGAATAAAGTATGCAATGCGTTATAATCTGGAAGAAAATAAGGAGGTTGAAGCAGTTGAAAAACCTGACTTCAGGAGAGGACACTATGGCGACCTTAGAAATTTTTTTAGCGAGTATAAATGGACAGACTTGTTGCTAGGCAAGGAAGTGAATGAGATGTATGCCAAGTTTTGTGAAATATATGATACAGGCACAACAAAATTTATACCAAAACAGAGATGCAGAACTAGGAAACAAGATTGGTTCAACAGAAATTGCGAGAAGGCCAGAGACCAAAAGACACAAAAATGGAATCAATACAGGAAGAGGCCAAACCCCCAAACATACCAACGATACAAAGATGCGAGAAACAACTACACGGCAGTGAGGAGAGAGGCAGAAAGAAATTTTGAAAAAGGGATTGTAGACAAATGTAAAACAGAACCAGGTCTATTCTATAAATTCATAAACAACAAATTACAGGTAAAGGATAATATTTAGAGGTTGAAAATGGGAAATAGATTCACGGAAAATGAAAAGGAAATGTGTGAAACACTAAACGAAAAGTTCCAAAGTGTGTTTGTACAAAATGAAATCTTTAGGGAACCAGACACAATAAGAATTCCAGAAAACAACATAGAGCACATAGAGGTGTCTAGAGACGAAGTGGAAAAAATGCTCAAGGAGCTAAATAAGAACAAAGCAGTTGGTCCAGATGGAGTTTCACCATGGGTTTTGAGAGACTGCACCTGAGCTCAGCATTCCACTTCAAATGATTTTTCAGACATCCCTGTGTACAGGAGTTGTAGCTGATGTGTGGAAAAAGGCTAACATAGTTCCAATCTACGAAAGTGGAAGCAGGGAAGACCCCCTTAATTATAGACCTGTATCATTGACAAGTGTAATAGTCAAAATATTGGAAAAATAATTAAAACTAAATGGGTAGAACACCTGGAGAAAAACTATATAATATCAGACAGACAATATGGTTTTCAAACTGGAAGATCCTGTGTAACGAACTTACCCAGTTTTTATGATCGAGCCACAGAGATTTTACAGGAAAGAGATGGTTGGGTTGACTGCATCTATCTGGACCTAAAAAAGGCTTTCGACAGAGTTCCCTATAAGAGGTTGTTCTGGAAACTGGAACATATTGAAGGGGTGACAGGTAAGCTACTAACATGGATGAAAAATTTCCTAACTGACAGAAAAATGAGGGCCATAATCAGAGGCAAGGTATCAGATTGGAGGAATGTCACGAGTGAAGTACCACAGGGTTCAGGTCTTGCACCGGTAATGTTCATTGTCTACATAAATGATCTACTAATGGGAATACAGAATTACATGAACATGTTTGCTGATGATGCTAAGATAATAGGGAAGATAAGAAACCTAGATGATTGTCATGCCCTTCAAGAAGACCTGGACAAAATAAGTATATGGTGCAATACTTGGCAAATGGAATTTAATGTGAATACTGTAAATGCCATGTTATGGAATGTGGAATTGGAGAACATAGACCCCACACAACCTATAAATTATGTGAGAAATCTTTAAAGAATTCTGACAAAGAAAGGGATCTAGGGATGGTTCTAGATATAAAACTGTCACCTGAGGACCACATTAAGAACATTGTGCGAGGAGCCTACGCTACACTTTCTAACGTCAGAATTGCTTTTAAATACATGGATGGCGAAATACTAAAGAAATTGTTCACGACTTTTATTAGACCAAAGCTGGAATATGCCGCGGTTGTATGGTGCCCATATCTTAAGAAGCACATCAACAAACTGGAAAAGGTGCAACAACATGCCACTAAGTGGCTCCCAGAACTGAAGGACAAGAGCTACGAGGAGACGTTAGAGGCATTATATATGCAAAAACTAGAAGAAAAAGAGGCGATATGATCACTATGTTCAAAATAGTAACAGGAATTGATAAAATTGATAGGGAAGAATTCCTGAGACCCGGAACTTCAAGAACAAGAGGACATAGATTTAAACTAACGAAACAAAGCTGCCGGAGAAATATACGAAAATTCACTTTTGTAAACAGAGTGGTAGACGGTTGGAACAAGTTAAGTGAGAAGGTGGTGGAGGCCAAAACCGTCAGTAATTTCAAAGCATTATATGACAAAGAGTGCTGGGAAGATGGGACACCACGAGCCTAGCTCTCATCCTGTAACTACACTTAGGTAATTACATGAACATCTAGAAAAGGAACAAGGAAATTAGATTCCCATTCAACTTTAAAATTGATGAAAAGGCTGGAAAAGATTAGTCATTACATCATAGAGCAAAAATATAAGAATATCAACATAGAGCCAGAGAGAGAGGGACGAGTGTCAATAGTAGGAAAATTAACATTTCAAAGTATAGTACTCCATATAAAGATTGGCAAGAACGGGGAAGAAAGGGGAACCCATAGTGACACCAAAAGTTTGAGAGAAGCATTTTCCATTGAAAGAGAAGGAGTTACAATCAACACAGTGTCTGATGAGTTTGAGCAAAACATCAGTTAGAAACAGGAGAAAAAACAGGAGGAGGCACTTGGTCACCTTCTGACTAAGGTTAAGAGATGGTCATCAAGGGGAACATTAGTAAACAGAGAATCTACATGAAGACTAAGCATCTAAGGAGGGGAGGCTGCAGGCACAATCTTTCGATGAAGTACCAAGAGTGATGGAGGTGGGCAGGAGAAAAAGTACAAAGATAAGGAATGAGAGTTTTGGCCAGCTAAGAAGAAAGAGGGTAGCCAACAGAGCCTCTTGAAGAAATGATAAGATGATGAACACCAGGTCTGTGAGTTTTAGGTAAACCATAAAAGTAAGGAAGGGAGGGGTAATTGACGTGGAAATGTTTTACGAGATCAAAGTCAGGAGGACAGAGGCTAGAAAGCTGTCTTAGATTACAGTTGAAAAAAGTTTTAAGGTGTTCCCAAGGGTTAGAAGTCAGAGGAGCATATGTATGGAAGTAAGAGAGCAAGATATCAGCCTTCTGGAGGTAGTCCACATGGTCAAGGACAACCACTGAACTGCCCTTGTCTGAAGAAAGGATAACAATAGAGTTATCCTTCATTCAGTTTGGACAATGATGTCCTTACTTCTTCCACGGTCAGCATTATATAGATACTATACTAAATAAAATAGTATCAATTTACACCTAAGTAAGGTGAATTATGACTACTGTACCTCAAGTATTTAGACCCAAGAAGACCCATCTTGATCTCCAACCTCATAGCCAAAAATATGCAGTTACTTCTGCACTAAATTTGGCATATTACGCAACATGTAAAATGAGACTAACCTCCCATATTTCATCAATGTAGGTGGAAGGGGACAAGAAATCATCACGATGTTCCTGGATTAAGTCCAACAGGAGATGTACTGCTAAGTTAGTCCAGACAAAGCCCTCTGTTGGAACAAAAATTTATCACTTGTTTGGCTACTTGCACAAATACGGTCAATGTAATACATATAAACATTAGCTTAATCTAAATTTTAAAACTGACTTCCTTTTAAAAGATACGACACATACACATGTTATCTTGAGGTTATCTTGAGATGATTTCGGGGCTTTAGTGTCCCCGCGGCCCGGTCCTCGACCAGCCCTCCACCCCCAGGAAGCAGCCCGTGACAGCTGACTAACACCCAGGTACCTATTTTACTGCTAGGTAACAGGGGTATAGGGTGAAAGAAACGCTGCCCATTGTTTCTCGCCGGCGCCCGGGATCGAACCCGGGACCACAGGATCACAAGTCCAGCGTGCTGTCCGCTCGGCTGACCGGCTCCCCTAACCTAATGTTCACACCTATAGGAAAATAAAATGAGAATTGAGCATAGTCAAATTCTCTCTTTTTCTGTACATGACACATGGAAGCTCCCATTGCCGCCTTCTACAGTATATGGTTCACCAAGAAATTATATCATGTGCTGGGCTCTTGTTATTTTTGTCACCATTATAACATGCTCACTGATGCTTTCAGCGATTGCCAGGATGAAATACCCATTAGATACAGGACTGATGGTGGGCTGTTCAACCTCAGGCACCTACAGGCAATTACAAAGGTGAAGAAAGCTGTCATAAGAGTACTTCCTGTTCACTGATGACTGCACACACCAGCACGACACCAGCACCGAGCAAATGATGCAGCATGAAATGGACTGTTTCTCACAAGCCTGTGACAACTTTGGTCTCATCATCAACAGCAAAAAGACGAAGTCACGTACAGTACCAACCCGTGCACGGAATACCCTTCCAGAAACTGCACATGACTTTCAAGGGACAGAACCTGCAGGCAGTCGACAACTTTGCCTATCTTGGCACCAAATAATCAAGAGCAGGGAATATAGATGCAGACGTCAGCAACAGGATCTCCAAGGCAAGCGCCACCTTTGGAAAATTCCGTGAGAATGCCTGGGAGCAGAGGGGCCTCAGTCTTACCACCAAACTGAAGGTCTATGAACCTCTCACCTTGGTTAACCTTTGCATTTTATCAACTGTGCCTATTCTCAAGCTAACCAAAATTTCTTTCATCCTAAACCTGCTTCCAACACTAGTAGCACTGTACTCTGCCTTCCCTTAATATCTGAACTCAAAACTTTTACTAATACCTTTCGTCCTCTTGACATTAAGCTCGCCTTTCGACAAACTAACACACTTCGTAGCAATCTAGTTCACACTGCTCCTCCTGCTTCTAATGCTGCTGGTGTCTAATCTATTTCCTGTTCGTCTTGTCCTCTCCAATACTTTGGTGAAACTAGCCATACACTTAATGACAGACTTAAAGAACACAAAAGAAGTGTTAAGTCTGCAGACACAAACAGTGCTCTCTTCTGTCATGTTAGGGATTCTAATCATCCTATTGATTGATTGGTCTTCCTCCAAAATAATCTTTCCTGCCTCTACTCTACACAGACGCCATCTTGTTGAATCGGCTCTAATGCACAACGTACCCAACATGAACTTGAGTCCTGGCTTGTTGCTGTTGACTCTTCCTTTCACAGTATATACTCAAATGTTCTAAACTTTCTAACAAATGCGACCTAACATAAGCTTACCCTTCCATTTATCTTTCTTTCTCTTTCCTTCTTTCTTTCCCTTGTTTTCTCTTACGATCCCTTTCTTATTCCTATTACTATCCCCTTTATTACACCTTACCTTTCATACCTTTTGCCTTGCTTTTTCTTCCTCCAAGATTTTCTTCTCCTCACCTTTCTCTTGCCTATTTATTGCCTATGCCTCCTTCCCTCATCACAATGGACTTGAGAATGGTCCAGGATGGACCAAGATGTCGTCGTCCCTTCACTTTCTAGTGTGTGGTTTGGTCGACATATTTCAACCACGTTATTGTGACTCCTCGTCTGCGTCTGCTGAAGGACTACCATGTAGTGGTACTCATCATCCTTCTCTACACCAGCGAGACCTGGACTGTCTACAGCAGATAAGCCAAACAGCTCAATCACTTTCACTTGAGCTGTCGATGCAAACCCCTCCACATCGGGTGGCAGCACAAAATCCCGGACACCGAGGTCCTGGAAGGGGCCGATATACCCAGCGTCTACACCTTCCTACAGAAAACTCCAACCAGCTGGACAGGCCACATTATCAGGAAGCATAACAGCCGACTGCTTAAATAGCTGCTGAATGGAGAATTATGTCAGGGCACACGTTCTGTTGGGGGCATAAGAAACAGTTCAATAACTGTCTCAAGATGACACTTCAAAGACCTGGACATCAACACCAATACTTGGGAGTTGCTTGCTCAGGACCGTCCAACTTGGAAAAGCGAAGTCACCACAGGAGCCCGTGCGGTAAACAATAGATGGACTGCAGAGGCCCCAGGGAAAATGAGCCGCACAGAAAGTTAAAGCAACCTCCACCTATGCAGTAGCACTGCCCTTCCAGACCCAGATTGGTTTCATCCTCTATCATCTGGCACACAGTCACTGACTTTCGACCTGATATAATGAAGTCATGGTCATCTTTGCATCTGAAGGACAAACATGACATCTTTGCAAGTACAGTACCTGGGGCATAGCTGGAAAGGGTTTCGGGAGTTCTTTTACTCCCCGAGCCCAACCTGGGGCCAGGCTCGACTTGTGATAATTTGATCCAACAGGCTGTTTGTTCCTTGGAGACAAGTGGTCCTGTTACATACCTAAGGAAGGAAAACAGTGAAGAGCTTAACTGAAGCCCTTGCCAAGGGTCTCAATATACTATGATACTAAGGCAGAAATACCTATGCTTAAACTTCAGCTTCAAGCAAAAATTACAAGCACCGTGACCAGCAATTATCTCCCTGAAAACTACTGAAAAAGATCCAAGAATACAGTACACCATTTGCTGTCAAGTAATCCCACCATCATCATAACAGAATCCGGGGAGAAGCCAGTTACCCCAAATTGAATTCCAGACTATCCAACCGTACTAGGAGAAGAGACAAGAAAGCAGGAATGGGAGCACCCAAGTCATATTCAGAAACCGTTTTGATACTCTTAATTCACTGTTTCTGAGCTAAAGTGCCTTTAATGCTCCCATAGTCAACTGTGTGCAATATACAAAACAACTGAAGAAGAACAGCAAGGGCACTAATCCAAACTGGAGATCAGGTGCCACCTTTTTTTTTCAGATATAAACAAGAGTTGTTACATTCTTGTACAGCCACTAGTACGCGTAGCGTTTCGGGCAGGTCCCAGGAATACAATCCCCACCGCGAAGAATCATTGTTACAACCAAGTACACATTTTACTGTTGCGTTAAACAGAGGCTACAGTTAAGGATTGGCGCCCAGTAAATCCTCCCCGGCCAGGATACGAACCCATGACAAAGCGCTCGCGGAACGCCAGGCGAGTGTCTTGCCACTGCACCACGGAGACTGTAGGTGCAGTGCAGAGACTGCACCTGGTGCAAGATAAACCAGAGCAGGTTTATCTCATGGACCTCAGATGTGTACACAAGAACATACATAACCAAGAGAGCAGTCCAACTGTATAGGCTTGGAATAATGTTTAAACTGCTTACCTATCAGTGCTTACCTGTAAGTAACTATAGGGGAGCAAGATCCAGCTCCTTATGCTCTGCCTCCTAGCCATTTATACCTAAAATGCTAATTACCTTTCAACATTGTGTCATCATATTTTTTCTTAAAAGTTGTGGATGAAATTGGCTTCAACAGCCTCTGTCAATGCATTTCATATGCCAACCACCCATACAGGGAAAGATAATTTCCTTACATCTCTTCGACTCAATCGAGTGTCCAGCTTCTGCTAATGTCCTTTTAACCTTCCTCTTTTTAATTTAAATTGGCTTCCTTTCTCTACTTTATTCCCCACAAAATCCCTCTCTCTTTCCTCCCCCTCTCCCTCACTCACCATCAACAACAAGATCATTGTAGTCCATAGGCATCATTTTATTTTCTGGCTGCGGAACTGCACCACTGGTCATCCTGAAAGTATATATTCATGACTATTCAGAAAACACTAAACAATTTTGGACAGCAGTGACATTTTGAAAATGCATACAATATGCCACAAAGGCAGAAACAAAATTTCAATCCTAAGAAAATCACAGCCCTGAATTTGCACAAAGGATACTGTCCCTAGTGACAGCTTGTCTGAGTTTCCCTTTATAATTCCCATGGATCTTTATTGTAAGGCACACGAAATGGTGTGAAAATCTGACAACTTAATGGAATTGAGACTGTCAATATAAAACTGCACAAAATATATCTAAGAGGATGCCTATATTTATTAATATTTGCATTCTATGAGTCAACAGTGTTCTTGCTTCAAAATCCTGACAGACACACAATTGACATTCTATCTACACAAATCTGTATTACATATACGAAAACTGGGTTTGCCCGAGAGACGAGATTCAAGCAGCCAAGACACTATTTTGTGCATGACACACAAATACCACATTCTGACCTTGTATTGTGAACCATTGGAATTTTAGCCTGGAGCCAGGTACTGGAACCTAATAGGTTATTCAGCATTTACTGTACGTATGTTATTTATCATACACAAATGAAGATGGAAATTGAACACATCCATTACCTAGAGATAAGTACCACCCAGCTTGAACATCAAAGCCCAAGGCCATTTAGAGTGGAACCCAAATAGACATCAGGAACCACTGCCACAGGTTGTCAACACACTGGCATAATATAGGAATATACAACAGCCACAGAATTTGATTGCAGGGCACTGTACCAATATAAATGTGGGACAAGATGGAGTAGCCATGAAAGGGAATACTGACTGCACTCAGAAATGGGGAACACCTTCCCCAAGCACAGAAGGGAAAGAGTGGAATGCTTCATGCTGGAACTGATGCCTACGGGCAAAACCTCTGAGAAAGTGAAATCTTAAAAGTAAGCAAAGATGTAGCCAGGATTGGAGAGTTGCAGCACTCTTTTAAGACTAAGGTTGAGAAGTGCTCTTGAACCAAAACTTCAATTTTTCTCTTCCAAGAAACCCTTGCCTGCCAACATAGGACAATGCTAGCACCTATAATGATGCACTGGGATGTACCGAGAAGACTTTGATAATTACTCGAGCCCTCATCTGTACAACAGCATCAGCAGCATCAGAATGTAAAGATGGGGGAAGGGGCTCCAGCAGGATCAAAGTCCACACCCAACATCAGTCACACACTGGTCAACAAAAATGACCCTGTGCCCAACAGAGATGATCTAAGGTAACAAAGATGAGCAAACACAAAAGCAGAACTAAACTCAGAACTGCAGAGACAATAACGTTTCTACCAGCAGAATAGAACAAAATAAACCTGATGTGGGAACTGGACCCACCAAACCCAACCCCAATTAATAATCCCAGTCTCAAAAGGTTATTAAAAGTTGAAGATATGGGAAAGCACACGGGTGAGGCAGCAGGTAATGAAAAGCACACAGGTGGGGCAGGTGTGGAAAAGCACACAGGTAAGGAGCAGGTGTGGGAAAGGACACGGGTCAGGCAGGAGGTCAGGAAAGGCATGTGGACAAAGCAGAAAGTGTAACTCACAAAATTGCAGAACTAAAATAAATAACCAAAAAATTCCAGTAGCATAACAAATTAAAAGCATTTAAAATTCTATTCAAAGATAGAAGGAACACTAACGCTTGCTCTCTCATTCCAAGAGGGTCGATCTCCTTGCCGAGGATGTGATGTAGAGAGTCAAAGTATTCAAACCTGTAGCTGTTGTCGCCATGTATCTGCTTCTGCAGGACCTTCACGTAAGTCCCCTGAGGATGACATAATATTCACTCCATCTGGAGATCATGGCACGGAAAGATATCAAAATACATGAGCATGAAACAGTAAAAATATACAGGAATTAATTCAAAGAGAAACTATTGTTAAGTTGCAGTAATATTTTGATTAACAATTTGAAATCCAATCTTCATTTTCCATTAAAATTTAAAAAAACATCATAGTGTGTCTTTGGAGTTTTTGGTACAAATGTTGCCATCTTGCAGCTTTATCTATATACTTCATCTTTCCTTATCTGGAACACAAGACACAAGAGGCGGTCAACATAAATGCAGCTCATGTACCTTAAGATTTCTCCACTTTTTATCACACTCGCTGCCAGTGCAGTTAAACCCTTCCTCTTGCATCCGCTTTGCCACGGCATTCCAGATGAATTTCTTCTTCTTGGTGCCGTCATAGAAATCTTCAAAGAATTCCTCAACTTTACTGATTAAGGTGTGCACCTGGCGGCGACCCCAGTGGAATTCTGCAGCAGTTGCTTGAGGCACGGCCAGGTCACTTTTGAAAATCACTGAAAATCAAACAAAGGCCGTGTTTAAAAGGGTGCAGGAAAATATGGGAACAGAGAAAAATTGGATCACAGAAACATTAAACAAATATCTACATGATAACAAATATCACTAATAGACAATATGCTGACAGCAAAACAGTTTATGAAATATAAAGCATTAAATATTATTTAACAACAATATACAATGCAGCACATATACTGTATTGGTATACAAATAAAGTATAGGGACTCTATTGTATATATGCACTGTGATGAGAGAGGGCCACATGCAGGAGATGAGCGATCAAGACTGAGAAGAGTCGAAAGGAATCCTTGACAAAGTGCAGCAAGTGAGGCAACCCAAGAAATAGAGAACTTTTAAAGAACAGAGCGAGTCCATAGAGAAAATCAGTAGGAACCGTGATGAGGATTCAAACCCATGCTCTAGGTACAGGACTTCCATAGTACACTCCTTAGACATCGAGTGAGTCCAAGATAGACAACAAAGACTAATGAAGATTACCCTCCAAAGTGTGTGTGTCATTAGACCAACACACAAGTGGCATCCTCAGGAATGGGACTAGCCCAAAGGGAGAATCTCCCCCCCCCCCACACCCCAAGGAAAAACCTAAACAGGCCTACAGTTTTTTTATTGTTTTTAAAGCAAAATTTCATGTTAACCCCTCAAATTGCATATCTATAGAAAAGCCCTACCCTGTGGTGTGCTTGAAAATATAACGTATCGAGTCTAAAAGGATTAACTGCACATGGCAAAGTTTGCACAGGAGTAAATTGCAGACAGCACTTTAAGCAGAGTCAGGATTAAGAGTGTCTCTTTATTAAACGGCACCCTCAAACACATGTTCCTTAGCCACAAATGTTAATCTTAGTTCCGACAAATAAAAACTAACAATAAAAGTCATATGCTAAAAAGAGAGAACTCAGGAGAGGACATACAAGAACATGTATTAAACATACAATAAACAGTTCCTACCCTTGGGCTCTCCAGACTCCATCCCACTAACACTTATCAACGTTCTTGATTTAATTCAACATTTCCCCTTCCAGTTCACAAGTTATTTATGCAATTGTTTTCCTTTATGGTGCCTTAGGGCTTCTTGTTGAATTATTATGTCAATGAGTTGTCTTGACTGAGGAATGACTCCCGAAGTCACGTTACGTTGAATTAGTTAGCCTTGGTTATCTCTAAAGCTTCATAGAGCAACACTCAAGAGTGTTGCTGCTGCAGATTTTGTTATTTCGTAGTGGGCACTGGGTAGTGTTGCTGCTGCAGATCTCGTGACTGTAGTGGGCACTGGGTAGTGTTGCTGCTGTAGATTTCGTGACTGTAGTGGGCACTGGGTAGTGTTGCTGCTGCAGATTTCGTGACTGTAGTGGGCACTGGGTAGTGTTGCTGCTGTAGATTTCGTGACTGTAGTGGGCACTGGGTAGTGTTGCTGCTGTAGATTTCGTGACTGTAGTGGGCACTGGGTAGTGTTGCTGCTGCAGATTTCGTGACTGTAGTGGGCACTGGGTAGTGTTGCTGCTGTAGATTTCGTGACTGTAGTGGGCACTGGGTAGTGTTGCTGCTGTAGATTTCGTGACTGTAGTGGGCACTGGGTAGTGTTGCTGCTGTAGATTTCGTGACTGTAGTGGGCACTGGGTAGTGTTGGTGTAGCTTGAAGGGCCACCACGGCACAGGACACGTGCCTTAACTCTCCGTGCCCGCCTCAGAACAGCAAGAGGCACTGAAGCTGTACATCACGTGTAGCACTAGGAAATAAACTGCGGTGGGTTGGTGGCTCCAAGTTTGCTGTTGTTGTGGTGGTGGTGAGGGGGGGGGGTTGGAGCCTCGCTTGTGGCGCTGGCACACTGTTCCGTTTTCTTTGGATACGACGTTTGGGAAAGTTTATTTATATATTTTTATATTATTTATTGATTTAGTCATATACAAGAGCACTTTATTTATATGTCTATATATATATACGTAAGCCCTTTATGATTCCATGTATGACTAACCATCCTGTGAGATGGGAACATTAAATGAACTTATAGCTAGTGTTTAAGCTACACTGTCTAAGCTTTCATGTATTTTTAATTATAAAAACAAAATAGACTTAGAAAAACCTTCAAAATTATAGTTTTTAAATATGTTCTGGAAAAAACCCAGTGACCGAATAATTATAAGGAAGGCAGAATTGTGAACAGTATTTCATGTATTTTTTCATGTATCAAAAATTTTTTCCTTTGACTTGTGGAGCTGAGCGAGGCTGGAGCAAGATAGAACGCATTGATTGATTGATGAAGATTAAGCCACCCAAGAGGTGGCACGGGCATGAATAGCCCGTAAGTGGTGGCCCTTTTGAGCCATTACCAGTATCAAGAGCTGATACTGGAGATCTGTGGAGGCGCAACTGCACCCTGCGTGACGGGAGATGTCTCCCGGACCAAGTGGTGACCAAATGGTGATAGAACGCATGATGATGAAGATTAAGCCACCCAAAAGATGGCACGGGCATGAATAGCCCGTAAGTGGTGGCCATTTTAAGCCATTACCAGTATCAAGAGCTGATACTGGAGATCTGTGGAGGTGCGAATGCACCCTGCATGATGGGAGATGTCTCCCTTGTGAATGTGTTAAGATGAAGATGAAGCCACCCAATAGGTGGCACGGGCATGAATTGGTAAGTGGTGGCCCTTTTGAGCCATCACCAGTATCAATAGATGATACTGGAGATCTGTGGAGGTGCGACTGCACCCAGCGTGACGGGAGATGTCTCCCGTGTTTTAAACAGATGAAGAAGATGAAGCCACCCAAAAGATGGCACGGGCATGAATAGCTCGTAAGTGGTGGCCCTTTCGAGCCATCACCAGTATCAAGAGCTGAAACTGGAGATCTGTGGAGGTGCAAGTGCACTCAGCGTGACGGGAGATGTCTCCCATGAATGTGTCCAAAATGACGATTAAACCATCGAAAAGGTGGCACGGGCATGAATAGCCCGTAAGTGGTGGCCCTTTTGAGCCATTACCAGTATCAAGAGCTGATACTGGAGATCTGTGGAGGTGCAACTGCACCCTGCGTGACGGGAGATGTCTCCCGGACCAAGTGGTGTAGAACGCATGATTGATTGATGAAGATTAAGCCACCCAAGAGGTGGCACGGGCATGAATAGCCCGTAAGTGGTGGCCCTTTCGAGCCATTACCAGTATCAAAAGATGATACTGGAGATCTGTGGAGGCGCAACTGCACCCTGCGTGACGGGAGATGTCTCCCGGACCAAGTGGTGACCAAATGGTGTAGAACGCATGATGATGATGATGATGATAAAGATTAAGCCACTCAAAAGGTGGCACGGGCATGAATAGCCCGTAAGTGGTGGCCCTTTTGAGCCATTACCAGTATCAAGAGCTGATACTGGAGATTTGTGGAGGTGCGACTGCACCCTGCGTGACGGGAGATGTCTCCCGTAATTATTAATTAATTTTTTTTTTTTTTTCCCAGTGTTCTGAGGTTGCATTTAACCATCAAGCTGTTATCGTGGGGGAGGATACTGCTTCACAGTCTTTATGAGGGTGTCCAGCTGCTGGACACCTTTGTTGACCAGGAGAGTGGCTGTGTTGATGGCTTCAGGGTGGCCACTGCATGATTCAGGAAGCTCTTCTAAGGTCATTGGTTGCTTCACATTCCAGAAGATAGTGAAGTAATGGCTTTTCTGTGACAGTTTGGCAGAAGATGCACTCTCTCTGTCGGGTTTCACCAATCTCCCAGTTGCATCTGTAACCTAGACGTAGTCTATATAGCCTAACTGCTATTTCCCTGTGGATTCCTTTTGGGATATTTAACCTTTCTAATTTGGTTGCCTGAAGATACCATGTTGCAGATGGCGAACCTTCAGCTATTCTCTGGTGTAGGTAGGCTTTGTTGAGATGTGAGAGTTTTTTGGTGATGATGTTTTTTATGTTCTCTAGGCTGGGTTGAATTGTTTTATGTATCACTGGATGACGAGTTGCCAATTTAGCAATTTCATCAGCTTTTTCATTTAATGGGATTCCAATATGGGATGGGATCCAGTTTAAAGTTATGTTGAGGCCTTTGCCTTTAGCGACTGCTCCTTGATACAAAATGGTGGTAATTATTTCCACATTATCTTTCCACTGGTTTTGTCCTAGTATTTGAAGTGCAGCTTTTGAGTCTGTGTGTATGATTGCATTTTGAGTGTTTTGTGCAATCACATATGCGAATGCCTGTTGTATGGCGAACAGCTCAGTTTGGGTTGATGATACTAGTCCTCCCAGTCTCCAATATGCCTGAACGCTGGTCGTGCAAAGAGCAGCGCCAGCACTCTCATTTTCTGTGTCCACCGATCCGTCTGTGAAGATGTGGGTGGCTCCTGCTACTGCTATGCTATACATTTGCTCTTCTATTATGCGCCTTAGGATTGTCGGATCATAGGCAGCCTTTTTCATTGGGAGACTTTCTATTACTATTTTGAAAGTAGGCTCTTCCCACGGGGCGGAAGGAGTGTAATTTGGGTGTGGATGATCACCCTCTCTATCAAGAATCATGTTTTTTAAATGTAGTCTGTTTATGACTTTTCCTGCTCTTGCAACCCAAGAGTTTCCATTGTTTTGGCCTAGTCCAACCACCAAGGCCTGCCGTACTGGGATTGGATCAGAAGAAATAATTATCTTACTGATAATTGTAGCTGTCCTTTGTGATATTCTTTCTTGTAGAGAGGGCAAACCCGTCTCCAGTCTAAGAGTTTCAAGCCTGGTCCACATGGGGGCTCCCAGTGCAGCTCTCATAGCATTGTTTTGGGCAACTTCAAGCTTTTTCCACTGTTGGTGTGATAGATTTGTAAGTGCAGGTGCGGCATAATCGATCACTGATCTGACTGATCTGAACGCATGATGATGATAAAGATTAAGCCACTCAAAAGGTGGCACGGGCATGAATAGCCCGTAATCTGAACGAATCGAATTAAATATAGGACAAGATACCCTTCGGGTGAGCTTTGAAGTGGGTATAGGTGAAGAATAGCTTGGGTGAGAGGAAGCGTCGGAGTTGTAGAGATAGAGCCAGGGCTAGACCCAGCTGCGCGGCTGAATATGAGGCTACTTGAACACCTGGTCGGCTTAGGCTTGGCGGGCAGGGTCCCGAGGGAGGGGCGGCGGTGTGAGGTCTTCTTTCCTCATGATGTGTGGAGTCTTCTTTCTTCTTAGGAGTTGAAGTCTTCTTTCTTCTTTGAAGCTGAAGTCTTCTTTCTTCTTTGAAGCTGGAGGCTTCCGTCTTCTGTCTTGCACGTTGGTCTGCTCCGAAGCTTGCAGGGGTTCCACCACCTCAAAACGAGCAAAATTAGGTCCCTACACCCCTAAAGAGGGGGGGGGGGTGAAGGCGGCTACCTCCGGGCGAGTCTGGTGTTGAAGCTAGGCTTGTTATTCTTCCTTGTTCTCTTGCGTGGAGTTTGGTCTGTTGGCGTGCTTGGTGAAGGTGTGGGTCTTGTCACTACTTTATATTCATTCAGTTCTTCTCTTGCTGCTCGCCATACGCTGTTGTACATCAGGGGTTTTCATGTCAGTTACTACCCTGGTAACAGTTTCCTCGCCGTTTCTGCGTTTTTTCGTTATTGTTCGTGCTTCCACGTCCAGGATTGACAATGGTTCTTCTGTGTCCTTGGGGTCGTGAATCAGGAATCTGCGTGGGGATCGCAGACCATCTAGGCTTACTGGGGAGACCGATTCATTGTCGAATTCTGACAATTCGCAGCCGTCCCCGTCCTCGTGTTCATATACTGGGTCCCGCAGTGGTACGTGGAATTCTTGCATTCTCGGGTCGGTGTTTTCTTCGACAAAACTCATGACAGTAGTGTATGGGTTGAACATTTTCGGGGCTGCTATGCTGGTAGTCACTTTGGGTTCAGGTGCGATGACAGTTGCTGGTTCAGCAGATGTTGAGATCGGTTGAGAAGCCGTCGGGGTGCTGTCGTTTGCCGTAGTCGGGTTTGCAGGAGTGGCTGGTGTAGGGTTGGCCTCTGTTGTAGTAGAGCGGGAGGTGAACATGGCCTCTGGTATCACAAACGATGGTAGGTTGTTCTCCTTGTATAGTTCCTTCAGTAATTCATAACGTAGTCTGAGATCTTCGCCTGAGAGCGCCGTTGCGAAGTGTATCAGGGCTGCAACAGTGCTATCAGGGGTGGCTGCAGGTGGCGTGAGTGAGGACGGCTGGCTGGCTGGGTTGAGAGGTGTTGTCTGTGACCTTGAGTGGCTGGCGCGGGAGCTGCTGGTCCAGTAGTTGAGTTGTGCGCCGCTCGCGGCGCCACTTGTCGGGAGTGCTGGGAAGGCTTCTGAGATTCAGATTCAGATTCAGATGTTTATTCAGGTAAGGTATATACATACAAGTGATGTTACATTAATGGATTGATATATAGATAGATCTAGTACATACAATGCCTAAAGCCACTATTACGCAATGCGTTTCGGGCAAGAAAACATTAATATCTAGAACTTAATACTAATTGAGCATAAAGAATAAAAGATGTTGAGAACAAATACAAATAAAGATAAAAAAAAGGGGGAAACATGACTGAACAAGCAGCACAAATACAATAGGTTGACAAACAGTGTTGATTAAAAAAGAAAAAAAAAAAAAAAAAAAAAAAAATAACAGACATGGGTTGACAATAGAGGAGTGAGGTAGATTACAGGGAATTTATTAGGTAGTGTTTAGTTTTTATCTTAAACTGGTTGAGAGAGGTACAGTCTTTAACATGGTTGGGAAGGTCATTCCACATTCTGGGCCCCTTGATTTGCAGAGCATTTCTAGTTTGATTAAGACTTCTGACTTCTGCT